AGTAGTATTTAGAAGTATAATTAGTGGCACTCATTAAATTCAGAAATTGACCGAGAAGGACCGCGGAGGCTTTCCCCACTACCTCACTCCTGCTGGCAAACAGTCTTCACAGTGCCTGAGAAGCCTCCTAACACCAGGCATGGCATTTTCCAGCAGGGATTCACACAAATATTAATAACACGTTTCAGGATAGCAACCCCAAAGGCAGAGACTGACCTCCTGAGGCAGCTCCAGCTTGGAGCGGTCGGTTCCCTCCTTGGACTGCAGCCCCATCAGGTAGGGAACAGGAGCGTCCAGAAAATGCAGGAGAGAGGCAGGAAGGATGGGGACATACACATGCTGCCACTGAAACGGGAACAGCAGCGTCGTGATCCCCTCCGCCACCGTCATCAGACGCTGATAATCTAGACAGGGGGAGAGACAGACAGACATTGAATTATCTTTCTGTGTTTCGCTTTTGAAACCTGGTTGGCAAGGACATCAGTGACAAAACAAGTCAGAAACCATGTTTATATGGTAAGATGTTCTTTTGAAAATAAGATAGTACTTCAAAACCTTAAACATTATTTAATGCGTCAAAACTCACTACCCCCAGGAAGAAACTGCTGAGCATAAATATTCCTATCTTATCTAGATCTATTCCGTCATTAAATTCATTTATTAAAAGGATACCAAAAGTTCTCTCTATAGTACAGGATAATACTACTCTAATTCTATAAAAAGCATGTATTTTTGCAAGGGAAAAGGAGGAGAAAGAAGTGAACTTCAAGGAAACATTGTGGTTTCTTGCTTGCTCCTGCCTGCCTGCTTCTGCTCCACTTGCTACTACTTCTGAGGCTGAGTGTACTTTCCAGAAGACTCGCCTTGGCCACATACCAGCAGAAGTTTACAGTCCCTAAGTATTTAAAAGCACTGCTTTTAAGTAAAATCCAAACAGAAGCCTAATAGAAACTTAGTTCTCAAAAATATTCTGTATAGCTGGCATATTTATATTGCATTAATTTCCCAAATTTGTATTTAATCCACTAGTTCACTGCTTTGCAATGTTTTGGTTCAAGTAGACACATTGCGCATTATTTTTTAAATTAAAATTTAATTTGATCCAGCTGAGCTGCAAGAATATTTCAGAATTTGGATAGCAAATTATTTCTCAACTATCCAGCTGGCATGATGCGATACCACAACCTATTTATTAATATAAATGAGGTAATCTAAATTTGAGAACACAGTTTAAAAAAAAAAAAATTAAAAAAAAATCACATGTTGGTGCCTATAGGATGGTCATCCTTACAGTGAATCTCAAACTGCAGACAATCCATCAGGAAACAGGTAGAGACCCCTGGGTCTTGTAAGCTGCTGGTGAATGTGAAACCAGATGATTGCTTCTACTCCATATTACAGCAGCTTCTGCATTAATAACAACTCCCCCCAAATTTCTAAGAACATGAAAGTACTTAAACCCCAATTCCTTAGCAATCTTGACTTATCATGAAGAAGCAGCACATCTCATTTAACGGTAGCGGTTAAAGACAGAAACACCAAAGTGCAAGTTTGTAGGTGACTTTGAACTTGCACGAGGTGCATGGCACACACAAGAGGGGGAGTCAGTTCCGATTCCCATCCTGGGCCTCCGCCACTTGTGAAAGCTGCTCTTCACAATCTGCAAAAGGGGTTGCTCCCCCCAGCTTCAGTGCACGGGTACGTCGCCAGTAACCAGCAAGAGCGGCAGAAGGGATGTCCCCTCTACGGCTGCATCCAAAACCAGTTCTCATCAGTGCCAGGCAAGTCTCACGAGCTTTGGCTTGAGCAACCAAAAGATTTTCACTCTCACCACGGCCAAACCCAGATCCTTGGTAACACTTGGGTTGTTGCCCATCTCTCCTAGCCCCTCTGCCCTGCTCCATGGAATTAAAGAAAGATACATGTATGAACACTCTGGTTTTGAGTCGGGTAAGGTTTTTTTTTTTCCTATAGCCCTACTGACTACTTTTGCCTGGGTAGGAACCCAGCCTGGCCCTTCCCGTTTCCTGAACAAGCCAGCCTGATACCCTGGCAGACATCAGCAACAGCAGAAGCACTGTCATCTGACACTGCTCAGCTATTAGGAGGTCACTGGGAAGATGCACTTGAATAAATATGCAAATTAAAACAACAAATTGCATAACCCATTCTCCTTCTTGCTAGCACTTCTCTATGGAAAACCAGCCTCGATCTGCAGAAGGTCAGCTGGCAGGGCAAAAACATTTTTCATCTTGTCCTACTAATAGCTAGTCACTCAATCTTCAAAATTATTTTCATGCATACAAGTCAGCCTCAAGGTTACACCTCAAAACCATTCCTAGCTACAGATCAGCCATTATGAATCTCTCCCTATGCAATCGTCTATAATTATACACGTTCATTGGCTGTCTTGTTGAGAAGCACTTATACAGAATCAACATACAACATCTACTGGTGAAGCTTAGGCGTCTCATGACACTTCATAACTCTGAAAGCTTTAAAGGTTAAAAAAAATACAGGAAGTAGCATGTCTTAGTATGCATGAGAATTTCAAAGTCTATTCTGATCTACATAGTCATGTGAAATAACAGGTCTTCACAGCAAAGTTGCAAGTATCTTTTTGGACAAGGGCATTCAACTCTGGAAATGTGTGCTCACTCTTCTTTGATGCTACTGATAATATTTAACATAGTCACTAGCACAAGTTTTGAAACCAACTTACTATGAGGAAAGCTGTTTTTAAAAAAACTAGTGATGACCAAATTATTAAGCTAATTGTTACCATTTAGCAATGTTTGTTAGCAATTAGCAGAGATAAAAACAATTCTGTACCCAGCAGTTTTCACTGAAGAGGAGGAAGTTCCCAGGTTCCTCCAGAAAAATAATTTAAAATAAAACACCTGGAAATGGTTCTGATATTTCTTTAATGAAGTAAGAAACTCTTGTTACTTTGTATTTACTTTCAAGCCTGTACAAGGTTAGACACCTATCCTGTAAGGCATAAAGTCTTTTTTGATGGAGAGATTCTTGTACCTATCAGCATTTGAGGGAAGCTTACGTGGTTACTGAGAACCACCTGGAAACAAGGGACTCCTACATTTCCCCAAACCAGAAAGAGAAAAAGGGGCGGCAGAACAGAAAAAAAGGAAGGAGGGAAAGAATGGAAGTGGATGGAAAAACCAGGGTTTGTATAGACTGCGTGTGCTTGCGTCAAGGGGGACAGCATTTCCAGATCCTACCCCACCATCACTACTAGACTGTGATAACAATCTCCAACTGCAAGCCACGTTTTGCCTGTTATTTTATGAATGAGAGGCCCAGGTAGGAAAGCTATTCTCTGATCCTACTCCAACCTTTAGAGCTAGAATAGGGGATTAGATAGTATTCACCAGTTTAGGAAGTGTCTTTTGAGAAAGGCCTGTTTGTTGAGGAGAGAGAGGACACAACAGTCCTGTTTCCCATCCATCTGACATCAAGAAACATCCGGAAAAGATACAAAAAGTAAAAACACTGTCTGGGTGATATCCACAGAAGGTCACAAACTCAGAGTGATGAATGGCTCAAATCAAGGCAATTTCCTGAGATCGGTGAAATTAATCGTCCTTCTAGGGGCTCACCCACCTCATGTGGTGTATGCCACACTGGACGCAGTGAAAGGCCCTGCGATGCCAACAAGGCTACTACTGCCTGCTTTAAATGCATGAGCACAAGGTTGCAGCCCGTGGCGATGGCCCACAGCAGCAGCTGCTGCCACCAGAACAAAGATTTCATCTGTGCAAAATCATCCCTGGGCACAGAAATAAGTAGTGGACAGTAGAGACCTAAGCTTGGGGCCTCCTCCCCTCCTCTGTGCTGTGCAGCCCGGGACAGTGGAGAAAGGACCCAGAAGGTCTGGAGACTTACTGAACGTCCCAAACACCAGACGTGTTTCTCTGCAGTGTGCAGATGGGCTTTTAGCTTTAAATTTCTCTTATCCTGGATCTCCTTTCCATCTGATAGCTCTACCTCTCTTACTTGCAATGCTATATCCCTCTCCTCCTTTCAGTTTTCATTTCTTCCCACTCCCAAAGTGACGATAGCTTATACCACACTGTTTATTTTGCTTTGCAGCTATACGTGCATCCCTCGCCCTGCCTTCTTGGGACAGAGAACTCTCTTGCCTTCTCCAGGACAGGGAACATCATTGAGCACAGCCCCTACAGCAAGTTCTTCACATTCAGAGTTAAATCTCTAATTTGTACACAGGACATTTTCCAAGAGAAACTGCTCAGGGAAGATAATCCCAAGGCAAAGTGGCCCCTACGGCTTCTATTGCAACTGCTGCCTCTTAACAACTGCTTAGCTGGATTTGGCATGGGTCTGTCTCTCACACTTAACCTTCTCCTTAAGTGAAGAAGAGGGCAACAGAGTCAAGTTCAAAGACTCTGGATCCAACCCCTTGTTCTGGCAGCATCTGCCAGGGGCCCTTGGCCAAGTCCCTGCATCTCAATTCCCTGAGCAGGACAAGTAACTGCAGCGGGGACCCGCTCTGCCATGGGTCAGCAGTTCTGCTGCACGAGCACCACGTTTCAGCCACGCTTTAAAAGGTCTGGAAATACTTACATGGCTCACAAGGTACAACGTAATGCTTAAAATGCAAACCCTGAGAGATTCCTGTATAATTGTGAATCACTGTTTTGCGCTAGAGATGGAAATAGTTTCAGCATTTGAACATCAACTCACTATAAATGTTTTTCTGAAAGAGGACAAAATTTGACAAATATTTGTCTGGATGTTGATTCTCCATAATACAATAACAGGACAATAACCAATCAGCACAGTATCACAACAGATACCGTGCAGGCAGAAGTATCTATCCCAAAGAGCTTAAAGTCCAAACACAGGCAGTGACTGAAAAAACAAAACCAAAATAATCCCTCTCCTTTCATTTTACAGATTGGGTATAGAAGCTCTGAGATGTTAAGCAATTCACAAAGCTCAACATAAAAATTGCTTTTCCTGCTACAAAGGAGTCTGATACCTCGAAATCTTTCCCATGCTGCAGCAAACCAAAATCAAGATCCTTTGAGAGGAGAAAGGGACATCAATGTTACCCCTGCCCAGAACAGCTAAGACGTCCCTTGTTCAGGTGCTACCTCCAAAACAGGTTCAAATCTTTGGTCGTAATCAAAAAGAAGAGAATTTCACCTGGGACCTTCTCAGCAAACGCCCAACCACAGGATTTTTGAGTATAAGGCACGTGTAAGAGGACACACACACTCATTCAAACTAGAAACGGTGTTCTTGCTGTGATCAGTACGGTGTTATTCCAGTTTCAACACACCCAGCCTTCCTGATGAAACAACAGTTTGGCAGTTTCCCAACTCTCTGTTCCAGTAACCTACCAAAGGTAAGGTAGAAAGCC